GTGCGCTGTTGGTCATCACGGCGAGGTCGTCGGCGTAAGCGGCTGAGCTTCCATGGTACCTGGCGTTCAAGCTGTCGGGGAGGCAGCCGTACTTGTACCCTCGTCCGCCAGCGTGGAGCCATCGGAGGAGTGGTTCGAGGAAAATAATGAATAGCACCGGCGAGAGCGTGTCCCCCTGTACTGTGCCTCGTTCGATCATTATTGGCGCTGTGAGGCCGTGTTCTGTCCGTATAGTGGTCCGTGCTTGGCTGTACAGGTCCCGTACGACATAGATGAGGTCCTCGGGTAGCCCTAGGTCGTACATGATCTGTAGCAGCAGGTCGTGGTTGATGGTGTTGAATGCCGAGGAGAAGTCGACGTATAGCAGGTAGAGATCTTTGCGTGTGAGCCCAGCATCCTCAATGACGTGGAGCAGGTTTTGGATTTGCCGTTCCATGTTTCTGTACCGGAGGAACCCTTCTTGCGCCTCGCTAAACAACGCGAGTTCGGGAGCGACGTCCCCGATGGACACTGTGACGAGGCTAGTCCATAACTTATAAAGAGTGTTGGCGAGGGCAATGGGTCGCTTGTTGTTCAGGAGGAGCGCATCTCCTGCTTTTGGTAGAAGGACCGTAACGGATTCAGTCCATTGCTTTGGCGTGCGGGCCTGGGCCCACATGACTTTCAGGAGGTCGTGGATGGTGGACTGTAAGGCAGTGGGCAATGCTCTCAATAGCTCGTTAGGTATCCCATCGGGCCCCGGTGTTTTATTGCGGGCCAGGTGTTGGACACACTTGTTAAAGTTAACAGGGTCGGCGACGCTGCTAAGCAGGACGTGGTCCGCGGCCTGTTTCGGGCTGGTAAGGGAGAACGTGTCTGGGGCGGCACTCTGCAGAAATGGGTACGCTCGAGGGGTTTCCTCGGGTCGGTACCGTCCGGTCTTCGGGGGGCCAATGGGGGCGGCCTGCGTCTGGAAGTACTGGTGGACTGCTTCAAGGATGGATTCGGGTTCCGTGCATATTTTACCGGAGACCGGGTGTTTCACCGCAGGTAGGCCGCGTTCGAGTTCATCCTTGCTGAAGATGCCTTGGTGGGCCCGTCGAGGGCGTGTGGCGATCAGATGCTGGGTTCGGCGGCGCGCTGTGGTTATGCTTTTCCGGCGTTCTGTTGTTAGCGCCTGCCGTATTTGGCTACCGACCCGTCGAATCGTGTCCCGTAGTTGCTCCAGCAAGCCCCCGGCACCTTCAGGAGGTGCGTGGTTGCCATTCGAAGCCAGCCCGTTAGGGCTTGTTGAGCTGTCCGCGCAAACTGGCTGTTGGCATCCGGGGGCGGCCTGCATCCGTAGTTCCATTTCATAGTCATGCTTGAGCCGGATGTGTTCTCTGTGTAACTTTTTTAGTCCTCTGCTGATATGTCGATATGTCGGATGCATATGGTTATTTATGCGCAACTGCTGCTCCCCCTCTAACATAAGCTCTAACCACCTGCTCCTGTTTGTACCAAGCTATGTCTATTGCATGTCGAGATTCCTCTGTGATGTCTCTGTGAGCCTTGGACCTGACAACTAGCAACTTTCATGTCTCGCGTCTGTTTCTGGGCGTCGACCGTGAGCTAGCTGAGACCATGTAGCCAGTGAGGTTATGAGTATGTTTGGCCGTGCAAGGGCCCCAGTGTTACACGCTTAGCGGTTGGCGGTTAACGCTCATTTTAGGGCCCTGCACACGATTAGGCTCCACTACTATTACGACTACTGTCACTGCACCAACAAGACCATCCCCGTGCAGGGGAGGTGATTTTACATCCCTAGGTCAGTCATCGCCGATTTGAGGCAGGTTTAAACGCTCTGATAGAGCCATGAACCGCGCATTATCCAAAGGAATTTGCGTATTGAAGGGGACATACATACATATATATATATGAGATAACCGATGCTCTGATCAACCCGGAATGGGAGGGTTGGGGAACCTCAATGTTACGACTGTTTTTCTTCTTGGAGTGCAATATTTGGAGCGGAATACCGCAAGAAGTCATGGGGATAAAGGAGCGTGTTGACTGGTTGTTGAGTAGGCCTCTACCCGAAGGAGTGATGATAACGGCACTAAGTGAGCGTTTGATGAGCGGCTGGGACCATATGCGTCTGACTGTCTTGCCAGAAGAGTACCCATCAGATGGGAAGCAACCGGGAGTGCAAACTATAAGCACTGGATGGGGCTGCCCTTTTCGGAAGCCGAGGCCAACACATGCTAGGGTTTTCATTCCTCGTTTAGCACATCATAAGCTAGTGCAGTTTCGTTTATGTTGCTGGGCTTTGGAGGCAAACAGAGCGTGAAGGGGCAAGTACCATGTCCCCAGGGGGCAGCGGTTTTGCCGCTGTTGTGGTACTAATAGCCAAATCGAGTACTAGTATCAAAAACACGTGTTATTGGAATGCCCAGCCTATAATGATATTCGTGCTGAGGAGGGGTTCGATCATCAACAGAGCATGTTGGAGGCCATGAAATGAGAACCAGTACGTCTGGCAAGGATGTTGGAACGTATGTGGGCTCACCGAAACTGTAGCAGCCGGTACACAGTACGGCGCTATAAATACGCGCAGAGTGCGACCACCAGCATCTCGAGAGGCCTTTTCAGCGGCCAGCTGCTACAGAAACTCAGTTACCCCCTTTGGATGCTAGTCTGGGCTGATGTGCGGTGTTTCCTGTTCTCCGTGGCTTTTAGGCGTTTAGATATTGCCCTTGGGCCTTCGGCTCGTATGGGTAGTTTTACAGGTATGGGGTCATGCCCCCCCAACCATGTAAAACACATATATATGTATGTACAACAAGGTGCATACATACATACATACACCCGAAAGCTAAGGGTGTTCTCACTCTGCGTGACACTTGTCAAAACAATAAGTATCCAAGTATATATACTTGTTCTCCAACTGATGTACGGGGAAAAAAGAGAGGAATCACTGCCATGTGCCGTTATCCGCAAGCGGCTCTTATCCACGTCACCACCTGCTGTCCTCCCTTACCAGGCCTCTCGCTCAGTTCTTAATGACACACAACACACCCCTACAACCAGCGCGGAGAATTGCTGATGAGTCATTATCATGTCAGGTAGGTGGGTAACTGCTAACCACGGGCGGCTGGTTGCAGTGACCGCGTCGTGAAGATTAGAATGCGACTGTTACAGAGGACCCCAAACGGGTCGAGTGCAGCACCCCTAGGAACGCCTCCCGCACAACACTGTGGGCCTTCTTCAAAAAGAACTCAGCCAGGCCGTACTAACTTCAATGGACACAAGGCCTCAGTTAGTACGCTCATACAGAACATATGAGGCTCTTTAAAACCCTAAGCCCTCCGACCTCATCATTCTACATCGGTAAGCAGCAAACAACCATGTCTTCGTCGTTGACACATAAGAAAGGGTGGTTGTGAGGCACGTGTTCCCAACGCTTTGGCAAGTTGTCCCGTGCCACAAAAGCAGTTAAACGGGCCAAAAATTCAGAGATGACATGGTAAGTAATGGGGTTAAGCGTTGACGTAGATATGGCCATGTTGGCCTGAAGACGTCTTCAAGCCAACAGGGACGGGGTCGACCCTCCCTAAACAACAGACGGCGACCGAGATTGAGTGAGCTGATGGCCATCAGCTCGGCCATGGCCACGAGGCAAACAACCTCCCACACACACGCACAAACCGAGGTCGGTGGAATGCCCAACCACAAGTTAGTCCAGGTAAAAAGGTCTGGAAACTCTAGTTCGTTCTGCAGAGCCTCATGAAGAGCCAACACAACAGTACAGATGAGAGCGCGATGAGGCCCGATGAGGCCCTATGGCATAAAACGAGGGGTAACCCCCCCCTTAAGCATAACCCAGGGGTTAGGGGTAGGGGTAAGTGGTTACCCATGTGGCTATGTACGAAGGGAGGTGGGTAACCTAACCCCGGGGTAGGGGTAACCCCTTACCAAGGGGTAACAAAGGGGTCGGGGTAATATTGTACTGAGGGGTAACAGACAGGGTAACCAGTGTTTACAAGTGTTCCTTGTCCGTATGCTGGGCCATATGCTGGTGTCAATGGATTGTAGGATGTCCCTGTCCAACCTGCCTACACATGCTATCACAGCTGTCTCATCCATCTATGTGAGCACATATGCCCATTTCGCCTGTCTATGTGTGCATACATATGATGGTTCTAGTCACCCAGCAGGCCTACCTAGCTAGGCCTAGGCCTAGGCGTGAATTCAATGCAATATTAATGGTCAATCGAAAGGCATTGTGCCGGGCTGCTTACCTAATGCGCGACTTCGACTTTTTGCTCTTGTTGCTGTGATTGGATGGTGTTGCCGACAACAGGCTGTCAAGCACGTGCTTGCAGTCGATGGGCGGCAATTTAAGCTCGGCCAGCAGCTGAAGTGCCCTCTCGCGACCTGCCTATTCGTGGTGCCTCCCGAATTATTGTAGCACGAACTATAAGTAGCACTACGGTAATCGTGACACATGTCGCTGGTAGACCCACTTGGGTTACAATTGCATCGATTGGTTATACTTCGTGTTGACGACTACATTCTGGGATCGTACAGATTGCTGTACCAGTGGTCATTATTGCTGAGGCATTTAACCTCCCTTCATTCACTGATCGGTAGTTTTCACTACCACATAAACCGTGGAGGTGGATACAACATACACTAACTTCATGGCGCACAGAGGTCAGCAAACCCTGAATAACTGTCACGGGTACTGGTGCGCATGCCAGGGTCGAATACTGTATGGAAAATTTTTTGGTAAAAGCCGAGGAAAGAGTGTCTGCGGGCCGACGTACCAAACTTACTATGTTACACCATCGCTGTTAAAGCCACAGTTGTCTTGTTGCGCCCAATTACGGAGAAATTTGTTCATCAAGTCCGTCACTTAACTGCTCAAATCCGCATCAGAAGTCTTATGCAAGCACACAACCACCCACCAACCGCATGATTACCTCAGTGTTATCTGAGCAATCCATCACTTCTACTCTGCATAACAACGATGCATATCTTCAGTGGCAACCTCCGTTCCTAGCCTCCTCAGTGCACCGACATGCACGACACCTGTGTGCCGCAATGGACTGGTAGAGGTGCATCTTGGTGCCGCTACAGTACACAATCACTGCCTTTGCAAGAGCCTCGCACTCCTTCATCATGCTACCAGAGGTATTGAGCTTAATGAACAGGCTCTGATCCAGGCTAGTGACCGATAGCCTGGTGTGCAGATCCATCTTCAGGACCATGTGCATCAAAAACACCCGCTCGCAGTTGACAGTGGTGGGCTTAATCATCGCCACAAACAGCACCAGCCTGTACAACTGAGGGGCATTCTCCTGGAGCCCCCACAATATCTGAATCACCACATCTAGATGGTGCTGTGGCCATGCATGGGGCCTTGAAACCTTCTGCACCACTTCATGGGCCGCTTCATACCCCAGCAAGGCATCATCAAGCAGCTGGCTTAGCATAGCCCTCTCCTCCACGAAATACTGCAGTAGGCAGCGTGAGCCTTTGACGCCTCTTCCTTCATGCCCTGCATGCTCACAAGCCCTACCAACTCATAGGGGGTCTAACAGCGGCTAACTTCTTAGGCGGAGCTGTCAGCCGGGCTCATTATCAGCTGCTGACGATAGTTGTCAACGTGGCATAACAGCCAGTTAGACACTGGGTTAGAGGCTGTTTGGTCCTGTTAGGCCCTGTGACTGACATGTACCTGGAGCCCACACTGTTAACAGTTGTCTGATTCTAGGGACTGTTAGCAGCTGTAAGGACCTGTAACAGAGCGCTTTCTGCCACAACAGGATATTGTTGACAGGATGTTACATTCTGGTTGGGTCACCCAGATGCTGAGAAAGAATTTTTGACGGCTGTTAGGTTTTTTTAAGTTAACAGTTGTCTGATTCTAGGGACTGTTAGAAGCTGTAAGGACCTGTAACAGAGCGCTTTCTGCCACAGCAGGATATTGTTGACAGGATGTTTCATTCTGGTTGGGTCACCCAGATGCTGAGAAAGAATTTTTGACGGCTGTTAGGGTTTTGGGAAGGTAATTGTTAGCAATTGTTCAATTCACTTAAGTTGTTAAGCGGTGCCAAGGGCTGTAGTTGCTAACAGGCCTTGAAAGCTGTTACGAGCAGGGACATGCTGAAAGGAAGTTCCATCATGTTACTGGCTGTTGCCATTAGATAATTTGCTGAACTGCTGTTTAAGGATTTTACTTGCTGTTTTGAGGTTCAGACGCTGTAAATGTTATGAGCTTTTACATGATCCCTGTCCATTGTTAAATCACACATTCCCTTTTTTTGGAAAGCTCTCTGACTTCATTATTCATGCCATCAGCATCTATTTGCCATCATTGGGGATAGAAGCTTGTACTGCATGGGTAGGCACAAAACCACATTCGTCAGGAATTATATACATAAGTATGTATTATACACAACAGTCTGGGTCGCCCTGGTCACCTCACTTGCTCATCATGTGGAATTGTGCAGTAAAGTGCACAGCCAGCTGGCCTGTACCTGTACAGGCATCTATTGTCTCTATTCTTTACATCTGGAGGCTGCTACCAAAATCATCACAGCAACATCAGTACCTTGTCTTGGCATGCAATTATACATACATGTTCTTCATCAACCTTCACCTGTGACCTGTTCCACACTACTACTGCACTGCTTCCTTTTTTCCTAGTGAACACCTACTACACACCACTGAACCACATATATGGCCCTAGACTGCAGCTGCCCACTTTCTCTGTATCCCTGCTCATCATGGAACCTGTCTAAGCAACCAACGCCAGCTTGCCCTTGTACTGGACCATGGAGTCATTCCATAGAACATTTGTGCAGCCATGGGAGAAAGCCCACTCCTTGACCTGCTGCTTGTTGAATCTGCCAAGTAGGCTCTGCACTGGAAGCTCTACGACCGTGTGCTTCTTTAGCTCCTTGCCAACCTTAATGGTACCACTGGGCAATACCATGGAGGTCTTCTTGCTGTTGTTCGCCCTGTGCATAATGAAGACGGACACCTTGTCGGTGTCGTGCACGATGTTTTCCTGCATGGTGAATATGGAGGGACCGACCAGTGCTTATTCAATGTTGTGGACATGTATGAAAAGAAACATAATTATTATATTATTAGCAGTAGCATAAAATCTATAATCCAGCAGGCAAAGACATTAATTTCAAGCAGTTCATGGTTGCACTGCATTGTAGGTGCGATGTATGCCATTAATTGTATGTTGTGAGGCGGCTGCAGATGACAACATGGCCATTCTTGTGAAGAAACATCAAGCCTAATTAACTTACAAGACTGCCAAAGACCACACCGCCAGCTAAGAGCACAGGACTGTCCTTGCCCTCGACAATGAAGACGAACTTGTCATCTTCATTGTTTAGAGGCCCTAAGCTCTTCTGCAAGTATTCCAGGTGCGACTGTGAAGACTGGTACTTCTCAAACTCCTCTTCGTCAGCTCCAAAGGAGTTGAATCTCAAAGCATCTGCTGGCAAGGCATGCACATATGTAATGGTTAGTAACGTCTTCAGCTGCATGTATGATGTATGCAGGCATGTATGTTTCATGGTATGCATATTTGAGGTTTCAATACTAGGGTTTTGAAAATCCAATAACCCCAAACTATAACTACGTCTCTCCTCTTATCTCTGCATTTACAAATAAGGGCTAGAATGGATTTGCAGCATACACAGTAGCAGGACATTGAATCCCCCCAACCCAAAACAATTTTAAAATATAATTTCCAAAGTACTCTTAGTACTCGCCCTCCACATTGGCCTGCTGCTGTAGATTTCCAATCCACTTCTTGCGGTTGTTCCATCTCTCAACCAGGGACTTCCGGACACGTGCGTGTATGTCCTGGTCGGTTGCTTCAGAGTCCAAGTGGAAGCCAGCCACGGTTCTGTCTCGCCCACCCAGCGTAACCATGAAGTCCTCAATCTCCTTTTCGGTCTGTAATCAAGCATGAGCACCCATGAGTATTGAGTGACAGTCATTCAAAGATGATAATTCAAC